AACTTAAAATCATTTTTAAAAATATAAATTGTTATATAATGGAATATAGATATTTCATTATTTTAAAGTACAAAAGTAAAATGATTTACAAATTTCAAAGACTTCTTTACAAACTACATCACTTGTATGTATAATTTGTGTGAGCATTCACTTCGTTGTATATCAGAATCTTCAAGCCATTGCGATTTATTACTCTTTAAACTGCAACATACACTTTCTCATGACTAAATACCAGTTTCCGTAACAATAATTCAATATGTTTCAGATATTGTTCTTGATAATAATTTAATAATTTGACTTAAGTAATAATTCAACATATTAATGTATTTATTTTAATTTGTATTTTTTAATTTTATTTTCGTATTTAAGTGGTACCATTAACTTACCCTATGGTATTTATTTTCTATTTTTTTAGATCACCTACCATTTTTACACGTATCCATGCTTGTAAATTATAGTATTAATAGTATTTATTTTAGAATACTTATATCATTGTTACATGTTTCCATGCTTATAATATTAATAGTATTAATTTATAATTTTTTAATTTTTGCATTTAAATGGTACCATTTGCTTAATGTACCATATTTATTTTTTAATTTATTTTATAACAGTTACCATTTTTACACGTTACCATGCTTGTAAATTGTAGTATTAATTGATAGTATTATTTTGTAGTTTTCTATTTTATTTTTTTATTTAAATGATATCATTTACTTACCGTACTGTATTTATTTTCTAATATATTTTAGAATACTTATCGTTTTAATAATTATTTTATTTTCTAATTTATTTAGAACACTTACCTAAATTATTTTAGAAAACTTACCATTTATTTTATTTTGTGTTTAAATGGTACATTTTGCTTATCGTGGTGACATACCATCCCGTATTTATTTTCTAATTTTCTAATTTGAACACTTTCCTTTTTTAAAAAAATCATGTTTTTAAAGTATAGTATTAATATTAATTTTGCAGTTTTTTAATTTATTTTCGCATTTAAATCATATTAATTACTTACCAAACCACATTGTTTTCTAATTTATTTTAGAACACTTATCATTTTTAGATGTACTCTCTCTGTCCTTAAATAGATTACAATTTTTTCTCTCTCGATAACTTTTGTTTGTTTACGCGATTTCATTAAGTATTTGATAAAATAAAATATTCTTATCACTTCTTGTTTTGTAAAACTTTTGACGTAGTTGTTTAATATGTAATTTTTATTTTTTATTGATATATCAATTTGTAAATAAAATGATTTCAAAAAGTAAGAAATTTTACTCCGTAACCCGGAATTTGTATTGAAATTGGGGACTGAGGGAGTATTTTATTTTCTCTTTTATATTAGAACACTGACCTAATTTATTTTAGAAAACTTACCATTTATTTTATTTTCGTTTTAAATGGTGCTAATTGCTGACCATACCATATCTATTTATTTTCTAATTTTCTAATAAGAACATTTGTCATTTTTAAAACGTTTCCATTCTTTTAAATTATAGTATTAATATTAATTTGTAGTTTTTTATTTTATTCTTTTATTTAAATGTTATCATCTACTTACCGTACCATATTTATTTTTTAATCTATTTTAGAAAACTTACCATTTTTATGCATTTGTGCTTGTAAATTATAATATTTTTTAATGATAAATAATTAATTTGTAGTTTGTTTGAAGTAAATCATTTTAATCCTGCCCATACTATATTAATTTGTAATTTTTAAATTTTATTTTAATATTTAAATGCCAGTGTATTTTATTTCCATACTTCAATTCCCTAATGGTTCACTACTATTTAATTTAATTTAATTTAAATGCTTAAATGGTGTAACATTTAAATAAAAATAAAAATAAAAACATACTTAAAATAGAAGGAAAACATTAAGGTAAAATAATTAAACTACCATTTATGTTGTCAATACTTTCCATATATGAGTGTCATGCATGAGCGAGAAAAAATTTATGTCTTTTTATATAACGTATAGATTGAGAATTGGCACAAAAGGAGCATATGCTATCTACGGAGTTTTTATTTGTTACGAGACGGAACCAATTCCTTCCAAGGAACCAACCAAACTTTAGCGACTAGCTATAGATATTCTTTGGAAAAACTGTCGAGTAACCGTCATATGACTTTTCATGCTCACCCGCAGTTTGCACTCCATTGACTTCCCTAACACTAACACTATACACTCCATTTGTGTCAAAAACTAGTCTTGTTTTCATATTTATATTGATCTTGATTAATCATGATTATAAATTATAAAAAAAGTATATTTAGCTATAATGTAACCTTAATATAATTAGGTTCATTTGTAACTTTTACGGAGTATTTATTTAAAATATGTTTATTAATCTGTACGTGGTCAGAGTTAATGTAAAAGTCAAATTAAATTATGACACTTTTTTGAGACATAGTGAGTATGTGTTTTAATAGATTGAGAATATGTAAATACATACTACTACTTCTGTCCTTGAGTATTTGTCTAGTTTGGATTTTTTTCAACTAAAATTGACTACTAATCAAACAAAATTGATATCAGATATTGATACAAAAATAATTTTATTAGATTTATTTTATAAAAATTCAAAATATTATCTTATCTAATTAATATAGCATATAATTTTCTTAACTATTGATCAAAAGATGAAAATAATTAACTATAAAAAATTAAAACTCGACAAATATTTAGAGATGTGGTAATTTGGAGAAAATCAAATAAATGTACTCGTATTTATTTTAGAACGAAAGAAATATTCCACACTAATTTAGGTGAGTTATTTTCCATGCATGTTTGAAGGAATTGAAGGTCTGATGCGTCAATCAATTCAAGCTAAAAGTTATGGCCGGCCTTATGAAGTTGATGGAATATGTATATATAAGATGTCACACCTTAAAAGAAGAACAATCCTCATCGCATTTTTTTTCTTTCTATTGAGTAAAAAGTATTCTCATCGTTTCTAGTCGACCAGTCCAATTAGATGTCTTATTTTCAAATTTCAATGCATGGAACTCAAAACTTATTCTCATAATGTTCTTCTAAAATAGTGTTATTATTATTATTCACATAAAATTCTTTTGGATGTACTTTGTTGGTGACAGAAGAAGGAAGCCGGATCAAAGAAGGAAACTGAATGTTTAATTGAAATTATTTCAAATCATTATATACTAAATTTAAAAATAAAATTACATATTTAAAAACTACATAAAATAATCTACAAAACTAATGCTAATATGGCTATATTACTTAATTATAAAATAACTAGCAAAAAATAAGAAAAAAATAAATAAAATTTAACCTTGTAAATAATAAAAAAGTAATTTAATTCATCATGGAACATTTATTTTTATAGGGGAAAGCTTAAAGTGACAGGAGGAAAAAGAGAGTAGAAAAAAAAGGAGAAAGCAAATGCTTCAGGGAAAGTTGGCAAAAAGCTGCTGCCACATTCAATTTTAATTTTTTTTGGGGGCAACGATTGCAGCTGTCAACCAATTAGAAATCTACCCCTTTTTTTTTGAAGCAAATCTACCTTTTTTATAAGTTTATGTTTCTTTTTTAAATACGGAGTACATCATTTTGATTTTTTGGGATTCAACCAAAAAAATGATTGTTTGAGAACTTTTTATCATTTAAATTGTTTGAAAAAAAATTAATTTGTCGTTTCAATTTTTTTTACTCCGTACTGTTCAAGTTTTATAAAATAAAGTTTTTTTAAAAATATTATTATGTTATAATTAAAATATTTAAATTGCTCCCTAGTTTGACATTATAAATTGCAACAACTTTAATTATTTAGACGGATGATTATTATCTAGAGAAATTTACCTAAATAAGACTAAAACATAAAGACTTTCCCAATATAGGACCATATGTTTTTATTTCCCAATGTAGGACCTTTGGTCATTAACAAATAGTCATTATTCAACTAAATGTTCATCATCATTACTGGACATTATTCCTTCTACCAAGTCATTATTAAGTTCTATTTAAGAAATAAAAAGGTTTAAGTCCTACATTAGAAAAGTCATTATATTTTAGTCCTATTTAGTGCAAATTTCACTATTATCTATTCCTCTAACAGACCTCAAAGCCCGTAAAGAGTAAATGCCTGATTATGGGCCCAACCTTCCTAGTCCACATACCTGCAAAAATTAAAATAAAAATTAAACTTATTTTTATTGATGTGCACAAGGTCCGGTCCAGCCCACAGATTTTGGGTCCCGTAAATCATCACAACATGGGTGGAAAATTGCATAAGGTTATGGCCGTGTAAAATAATATTTGGGATAGCTTTTGGCATCTTTAACTGATTTTGGTTTTTTTGACCAAGCGAACCGCCGAAACCATTGTTTAGCAAATGGTTTTTTCACTTGGCATTTTGATCCGAAAAGCCAAAATATGAAATGCCAAGGAGAGTAGCATTTAGACTTGGCGATTAGGAAAAATAATTTTTTTAAAATCATTTTTGTTGAAAGATATTAAATAAAAATAAAAGTTAAAAAATTAAATACTAAAAAATAAAATTTAAAATTTAAAAATTTCAAAAAATGAAATGAGAAAAAAAAAGAAAAAATCATTAAAAAAAATTATATTTATAACTTATTATGAATTAAATGAAATTAAAGTTTAATACTCCATATAGTAAAGATTTAATTTTTACATGTAAAAAAATGAAAAATAAATATCGTGTGTGTGTGTATATATATATGTGTATATATATGGATGTATATATATATATATGTATATATATGGATGTATATATATATATATATATATATATATATATATATATGTATGTATGTATATATATGGATGTGTGTGTGTGTATATATATATATATATATATACCTGCAAAAAATTCATGACTCATGTTGCCATGAATTTTTTTTTCTTTTTTTTTTTTTTTTGGTTTTTGATTTGGAAAAAAAGATGAGTTGGGCATAGTTTGGTCAAAGTTGAATTGGAAGCGCAAGAAGTCACCCTCACCAGTGACCAGACACACCCCTACGGTCCACCCTCGTCCCCGTCAAAGCCCCACCCCACCGGTCAGACGCTGACAAAACACACAGAAATTGCATAGCGAGGGGATGAAATGCGAAGAATGGCAGCCGTCGGGAGTAACGCCGGCGCTACCGGCGGCGAAGTATGGAAAGCTCATGTCGCCATGGCAATGGTTCAGGTCTTCTATGGAGGATATCAGGTGATTACCAAAGTGGCCCTCAATGTCGGCGTCAATAAGCTCGTCTTCTGCGTCTACCGCGATCTCGTCGCCCTCTCCATTCTCATCCCCGTCGCCTACTTCCGGGAACGGTTAGCATTGTTTTTCGCACTTGTTATGGAAGATCAATCAATTTGACCTACTTTTGATCCATATATACCACTTTTCAGTTCACAAAACCAAATTACTTAGAACAAAGCCAATTAGCAGAAAAGAAAGATCTGGCGCATGGCACACAATCCGGATAAATTTCAATTATTCTAGGTAATCACTAAAATGGAAATGTATAAGAATTTTCACCCTTTGGAGGCTACTAGAATTGAACTGAAAAGCCAAGGATGATGAAAAAATAATGTGACTTGATGAAATTCAATATCCCTGTGACGAGGAGGTTGAAGAGATCCTAGAGTCCAACAACTCCATTTTAATGATTCTGGCAAAGAATTGAAATTTATCTGTATTTTGTGCCAGCATGATTCCCCAGATGCTCCTAATGGTAGAGGGGCTGTATCTAGTTCAAGCTTTGATATACTGTAAAATAAAATCTGTAAATTGTTTTTTTCCCTAGAAATTTGCTTATGTGAAGTGAATCTTATAGCCTTGTATTGCAGCCTTGAATCAATTGAGTTTTGATTGAAAGTAGGATTCATTGTGTCCTTGAATGTGACCTATTGTTGAATCCAAAAGAATGAAGAATTGGCATCAAAATCACATTTTTGGCATGATTATTAGCATTGTTTAGCTCTTGATGCCTGTGGACAATGTTTTATGCAAACTTTAGCCCATTATTTATCTATGTTTCACCTGTTTGAGACGGTTATAAAATAGTAGGCGACAGTTTATCTGCATGGATGGCAATTTTTTTTCTTTGAATGCAGATATGCGATGTTCTTTGATTTGACTTATTATTGATATCATCATCATCATCATCATCATCATAGAATATACTTACACGGATTCATTTTTGTTATTTACAGAAGATTGACACCCCGCATAAATAGGCAGCTGCTATTGTCATTCTTTACCCTAGGATTAACAGGGTAAGTTAAATGGGCTCGAAGCTGTTTAAGTTCAATTTTCTTCTTAAAAGTGTTTATTGTCATTCATTGTAGGATAAGTCCCTGACACAATATCTTTCTGGAAAATTGAAACAGGGTTTTTGGAAACCAACTCTTGTTTATGATTGGTCTTGCATATACGACTCCTGCTTATGCTGCAGCAGTACAACCTGCTGTGCCAGTATTTACATTTATATTGGCCGTGCTGATGGGGTGAGTTCAAGAAGTAATCTTTTCTGCAGAATTTTCTGGCATCTGTGCTACCTATGTATCAGACTATCTTAAGTCTGTCTATGCACGCATATGTTATAAATTTAGTGCAGCAAAGAGGGGTCGATCACACAATTCTTTACATTTGTGCTTGTGTAAATAAGAGCTAATGTGATCAATGTGCAATGCACCATTTTCTTCCCAAAGAGTTCCTTTTTTCCCTTTTTCAGGAAATATTATGAAAGTTATAAATTATAAAGACGGAATAAAGTATTACTGTTTTTGTACAACCAAGCAATGCTAATATGCAATCAGCTTAATTTAAGAAGGACGCTGGATCCATTGTATTTTCTTACTTGGCTATGCACATGTTGTCATTCTTTCCTTTACTTAGGGATCTATCTGTTGCATTTTCATATATTCAATATGACTCCTAAATGTTGTTATGCAGCACAGAAACACTGAAGCTGCTTACTCGAGAAGGTCAAGCAAAGATCGGAGGTACGATTGTCTGTGTTTCAGGTGCTATTGTGATGACACTGTTTCGAGGTCCAGCCATTCTTGGGTTTATAGAATCAGAGTTCACAGCACAAAGTGAAATAAGTGCTCGTGGTCAGCCTGAACCGTCTGGATGGTTAATGTCTAGTTTCCTGGAATTCGGTTTTGATTACTGGCACCTTGGCATGCTGTGCTTAATAGGAAACTGTATATGCATGGCAGCATACCTAGCCTTTCAGGTCGGTTGTTTATTTTATACCAAATTAAAGCGTTTAGATTGCATCGCATGACAATGACTAGTAGTGTGAATACATTTTATCAACCGTTGCACACACACACACACATCTTGTATACATCTCTAGATGAAGTCATGAAGTTGAAATTCACAGCATGTTACCTGCAAAATGTATAGATGAGATGTGATTTGTGTCTAGAACAAGGCTAACCCCTTAGTTGATTGGCAGACACACAAAATGGAAAGTAACTCATTAAGGCTTAACAGTCATTTGGAACACATTTTTCTGTTGTTTTGGCTAAATCTGCTAATAGTGATATTGATAGCAACAACAATTATAATAAAAATAACAACAATAAGAACAATAACAACAACAACAACAACAACAACAACAATAATAATAATAATAATAATAATAATAAGAAGAACAATAATAAGATGATAATAAAGAGTACTATTTGACTTTATTTTTGCTGAATTAACAACAAAAAACATTGTTACTCTCATCATTTAGATATTATTTCCTTCAATTTATTAAGAAGAACATCCTTTTAGGCTACATGCATTCGGTCAATTCAATTCATTCATTCTTTTCAAGAAAGTGGATGCAATCAGTCAGTTCAGCTTTTTTGTTATCTCAGAGTAAAAAAAGTAACTCACCATACTGTCATTGTATTTTATTTGTGAAGATTACCGAGCAGCTTGTGTTTGTAGTTTGCTTTGCTTATTTTTTCCAAAAGCATAACTGCACTTTCTGTCCTGTATGCTTGTGCACATTTTGTTTCTTGATAGATCACTATCAATCAGAAGATTTATGGTTTACCCCTTCTGAAATGTTTCAGGCACCAGTTCTAAAGAAATATTCTGCAAGCATATCTTTGACAGCATATTCATATCTTTTTGGCACCATATTCATGGTAATCACAGCACTTTTTACAACAAGCCTGCCCACAGATTGGAGTTTGACACAATCTGAAGTTATTGCAGTATGCTATGCCGTAAGTTTATCTATTTGTTCTGTTGTATTAGTTTATGCTTTTCAAGCTCCAACAGTCATGTATCTTGATCCTTCCCAGTTCCCCTTCCTCATCTTCTATACCAATAAATAAATGAAATTCTTTCCTCAAGTTGGGATTCACTGATGAGCCAAGTGTTCGGTGGTTTCCATTGCTTTTCAGAGTAAAGGTTGTATTACTAGGATAAGAAATATATTTGCTTCTTCTTTACTTCTTTGTTGTCATTTTCTATTTCTATGTACACCAAACAGAAGAGGGTGAGGTTTTCAGCCTTTAACTAAAACCGGTGGGTAGGGCTTGCTGTTATTTCCTAAAAAATTACAGTACAAAAACAATAGTTTAATAACTAACCATACCAAAACATTATTTTTTAATTTTTTTTACTGAGGTGGCTTTATCAACACTATTCTTCTGTCTAATTCTCCCATTTTTTGGCAAATTCATACACTTCATCTGGATTTAGATATGTAAATGAGCATATGATAATCCATTTTCCATCTGATTTTTAACCAGACTCCTTGAATTATAAGGTTCCAGATCATTATTAATCGTGCACCGCTGAAAATACTCTTTTCTAAGCATTGCAGTCTAATCACTCGGTTTCATTTGCCAGGGAGTTATTGCATCCGCGCTTAACTATGGACTCCTGACATGGTGCAATAAGATTATTGGGCCTGCTTTAGTTGCTCTCTACAATCCTCTTCAACCTGCTGCCTCAGCATTCCTATCACGAATTTTTCTTCAAAGCCCTATTTATTTGGGAAGGTGATACTGATTTTTCTACCTTCTTTCCAACTTTATCATTACTCTGCATTAAGTACTCTCTCCGTCCAATTTAGTTGTCCGTTTTCCAAACTCAAATTAAACAAAAAGATTTTTTAAATTAGCTTGGTTTTCATTGAGGGAAAGAATATTGATATGCTCTTTATGGGGGTGTTTTGATAACTCACAATAATTTGTTTACTTTATATGGTAATTGGTAAGTGGTAACTGGACAATCAAATCGGCATCCCAAAACGTAAAATGGACAGCTAAATGTGGAGGGGATGGAGTACTGTTTTTAGTCTACATATAATCTTGGATCTACCCATTTTTTCACAACAAAAAAGGTTCTTTGTACATAAGCGCTTCCTGTCTAACATTGATTGAGATGATAATGCAGCATATTGGGAGGACTTCTGATCATAGCTGGTCTTTATTTGGTAACATGGGCATCATATAGAGAGAGACGCTCATCAATGGTAACTATTCCTCATACTTTTCGCTCATCAGAACCTCTCATTCTCAGAGAATCTTCACCTAACAAGATCTCATAGCAGACTGGACAAAGTTTATATGATCCTACATGTACACCTTGCCTAAGATGATCGAATAGCAAGTCTTACACTCCGTTTATATTTACAGGAAGATCTTACTGTGTCTTATTTGATATTTACATGTTCAAGCATCTATAAAGATGAGTACTGTCCCTTGGCATTGACATTGTAGATGTTAATGATTTTTTTTATATAATAGGAAAAAAAAGGTGAACTGTTCAACTGCTGCCATTTCAGGCTTCACTGTTTTTTTGTGTGTGTGAATTATTTCTTTATCGTGTTCATGTTTTTAGGACACACCGTCCTCGATGGAGGGAGACCGATACCAACCTATTTCCACCTATAATCCTGTAATGCCGGGGGATTTGGGGCAATGAGTCTCTGTAGAAGTCAGGTAAATATAAATTTAAAATAATACACCCTTCGAGGAGAAGGTTTGTATAGCTTAATTCCCACTCTCTGGGAAGTGGCTTGCGTGCAATAAATAGGCTAGGCCTCCCTTCAGGATCCTTGCTTGTGCCAATTCAACAAGCACTCCCTTGGATTCCTATTATGGTCCGTTTGGTACATGGAATTGATGAAATTGAAATTTAAATTGGAAATCAAAATTATATGGAATTGATTTGGATGGAATTAAATTCTCCGATTTCAATTCATTTTTGGCACTGTCAATTCCAAATTCATCACATATTTTTGTGCTACCAAACACTAGAATTGGAATTGTTATCCTCAATTCTAATTCCATGGTTTGAATTCTGTGTACCAAATGGAGAACGAGTGTTTTTCTTTTGGTGTTAAAATTGATTGTACTTGACTCATCACACACACAAAATTGATAGTTGAGCAATTTATTTTTAGTGTACAGTTGTACACCAAACACGAACCTAAGCAAATGATGCTTTAGTTTCTCATGTATTAGATCTGTCCAAAATAAAGTTCTCCTTCTTTATACTCCCTCCGTCCCTATTTAATCACAACACTTTGACTTGCACACACTTTTAGAAAGTATGTAAAAAGTATTTTTTTTTCAAGAATACCCCCACCCACCCGTACAAAAGAAAAAAGCAAAGGCAAAAAATAAGGGAGAAAGGGGGAGTATTTAATTAAAGTTAACATCACATCATTCTCATAATTTTACAACTAGGCTATCAATTGTACACATCATCACCATACACACACCACACGTTGAAAATTAAAGAGGGAAACACCCAATTTTTTCCCCCCAATTTTTTCCTAAGTACACCCTCTTCAATGAGCATATAAATGGGTTGTGTGCATTGAAGAAGGCTATTTAATTCTAATCAAATATGGATTACATAAGTTCAAACCCAACTTCATCCACACTTCATGTGTTTGACCTGAATCTCCCCCCTGCGACTGCCCATGACTTCGATCTCAACGAGGCTCCGACGCCGGCTTCACGTGGAGACGAACCGTCTTTTGAAGACGATCTGTCTTTTGACGACACAGTAGTTCCAAGCCTTAGCATTCGAGGTTATTTCAGCGATATGGCACGTTTAGCCGAGGTTATTTCCCCACGGATAGCTCTGACAAACACATCGACTTCTCGTGGAGTGCATACCGGGCCGCCCGAAGAACCTGTGCACGAAAACGAAGCGGAACAGCATGAGAACAATACAACGCACAGACTATCTGATATTCAAAAGAAACGCATATTTGAAATGCTAATGGGAAAAGCCAAAGAAGACTGTAAACTGATCAATAGACAGTCTCAAAAACCAAAAAGCTCCAAGGAACATATATGAACTGATCAATGCAGTGCAGACTGCATTTGAGGAGTTAACCCCTCAAAAATTGACTAAGGTCTTCTTGACCTTACAATGTGTGATGGAACAGATTCTAGTGCAAAAAGGAGGAAACAACTACAAGATACCACACATTGGGAAAGACAGACTAGAGAGGATGGATCAGTTGCCTGAGAATATTCAAGTCAGTATGGAAGTGGTGGAGGCAGCCAGGAACTTCTTAGCAAAACAGGGGGCTGGTAACAACTGACTTGGAAATACAATCTAAGTTCTTTGTTTTAATTTTTGCTTTTTGGAGGGACTTGTCCTAATGAACTGTGGAGTTCTTGACATGTATTTGGTACATAAGGTACCTTTTTTTGCTTTTTGGAGGGACTTGTACTAATATTTGGGGGGGGGGGTAGTTCAAGCTGACTTGTATTTAGTACAAAGGGTACTTTTTTTATTTTTGTAGGGGACAAGTTTTGTAAGTGCTCCTGAATGTATAAGTATATTTTGAATGCATTTTTGGTCTCATATTTTAAAGTCATCACAGACCACAGATCAGACACATGAGGCAACAAACATTTAGGGATCACATACTGGCCAGCCTTTGACATAAGGAATGAATGGCATCACATTTTTGGTCTCAGATTTTAAAATCATCACAGACCACAGATCAGACACATGAGGCAACAAACACTTAGGGATCACATACTGGCCAGCCTTTGACATAATGAATGAATGGCAACACATTTTGGTCTCATATTTTAAAATCATCACAGACCACAGATCAGGCACATGAGGCAACAAACACTTATGGATCACATACTAGCCAGTACTCACAGTGGGCAACACACACATAGGGATCACATACTGAGCAGCCATTGACATTAGGAATGAATGGCAAGACATTGGTCTCAGATTTTAAAGTCATCACAGACCACAGAGCAGTCACAGTGGGCAACAAGCATTAGGGATCACATACTGGGCAGCATTTCACATAAGGAATGAATGGCAACACATAGGTCACAGATTTTAAAGTCATCACAGACCATAGAGCAGTCACACTAGGTAACATTTCACATAATGAATGAATGGCAAGACCAGTACACATTTCAACTCATCACAGACCACACATCAAGGGCAAATACTCCAAAATCTGGGCATTATACACCTCGGGCCACACACAACCAAATACATAAATTGTTTTCACAAATGGCACAGAGATGTGATGGCCTCACTAAAAAGTGTTGAAATTTAATCCCCCCCTTCATCATTAGTTAAGAGATTGAATTACCATAACATGCAGAGACAATCCATTCGATAATTAAGTTATTGAGGAGAGGTCATACCACAGGAAGGCAGATCGAAGGGTATTGGTGGAGGGTTCACCATCAAAGCATAATCTGTGCAGACCAATTGTCTATGATCATAGTCAGATGTCACCTCTTCGGATTCCCCTTCGTCGCTCTCAAATTCCAGATCTGATTCATCAAACATCGCCACATCCCCGTACTTCTTACGATACTTCCAGGTTGGGTCTGTATCAGAAGTAGAGGTCGAAGGAGTAGGATAGCGACGCTTCAATCCTCGTCCAGATCCACCAATTTGGGGGAATCTACCTCGCGAGGGTGATTCCTGTATCAACAGATTAAAATTGGAATATGAGGGATCTGGATTACCCATAGATTAGGGAGTGGAGAAGACGAAGATTGTGGCGGAGAGGAATTTGAGAATATCGCGGAGAGGAAGAGATTATGCAGAAGAGGAAGATTGAAGATGAGAGATCAAATGGAGAGACGAAAGAGTGTGGTGAGAATGAGAGGAATCCGGATAAGGATTCTGATGCACAGTTTGAAAAAGCAGGGGTATAATAGTCTTAACACACCAATTTACTTTCCATTATTAGAAGTGTGGTAAATTTATTGGGACGAATAAAAAAGGAAAGTGTGACAAATATTTAGGGACGGAGGAAGTATATAGATTTCTCTTTACCTATTCTCACTGATCGTTTCATAAGATGAAGTATTCAAATTATATTTCATTTTGTAAAACTTTTGATGTAGTTCTTATACATAAATTTAATTTTTGAAACATGCACTAATGTTCAAGTACAAATCAATTAGACTTAGTAAAGCAAAATGAGAATCTTATTTTGAGACGAGAAGGGTAAGAATGGTGATCGAGATTTTTCCATTGAGAAGTCGCACATGTTCAATTCTAAGCTTGTATCACACATTGACATCTGGCCATGAAACAAGTGTGACGTTTCAACAACACGTACGAGAGCTGTCTACCACATATTGAGACAATGAGACGTGGTAATGAAGGAAGGAAGCTATAAGTGTGACTTATAAAAAGAGTGATAATCTTTTCCTCTAGTTCACTATTTCAAAATCACAAAAATTATACTTGAAAAAATATAGACACATAAAAAATTACATTTCATTACATTATATTTTAGTATAAATTTAAGATCAATAAATGCATTTCGAAACATACTTTTAATTTGAAATATTATATTTGAAATATTTTTATGGGTAACGACGTATACTACCACTTTCCTCCCATCCATATCATGCATGCAAGTATTGGATCTCAAGTCGATCTCATTTGAGTCTGGAGGGTATATAGTAGTCAGTCTATTATTATCCGTTCACGAAAATAGACCGGAGACTACCCAATCCGCTCAATAATGATTATTATTGCATGGCAGAGATTGATACTGTACTCCATTTTTTTTAGTTTTACAATTACGGAGTATAAAAAAATGATACTAAATCTCCAATCGCTAAATATTTGTCTAATTTTGACCTTTTGTAATTAAAGTTTTCTATCGCTTTGAAGAAGTAGTACGTACAATTTTACTCAATTTGTTTTTTTATTATATTATTCTTTGTTTTCCCTGCAGCCAACAACCTTGGGGTGGTTAATGTCTTGGTTTATGTTGACAATAATTGTTATTTCGGGTACGTACGTAATAATTAATATGGCTATGATTGCCAAGTAAGTTCAAATCTTATTTGGCCTCTTGTACGTTTTCATACACAGTATATGTGAAGGATCTTGGGGTTTTGAAATATTTTCTCGGCATTGAAAAGTTAATCAGAGTTACGTTCTTGTGGTACTTTTTTATGTACGTACAAAGATGCTCTTGATCGACATCACTTCCGAGACAAGTAGTCTTCTTGGTGCTCAAGCTCTGGGGAACCATGCCCCATGGATACAGATTTTACGAGTAACACGTAGGAGTGCGATAGATAGAAGTAATGGTCTGACATTGTTCCGAACCGTTCCAAACAGAAAACTGGGTTTTCAAATGGTTTAAGTAAATTATTTTCAAAACCGAATCAACTTATTTTGAAAATAGTACAGAAGGGTTCTCAAAAAAAATAAATAGATACAAAAAATGTGGAACTAAATCGTTACCGGCCACTAAAATGATTCCTTAATAAATTAATTATACAATTTCATTTGTTCTTTTACCAATAAGTTTAAAGCATATATACTCTGTATTTATTGTACGTGTGTGACTTTACCATACTCGATCTGTATCAGCGGAAGACCATCAGATCGAAATTGCTTCACTGCCGCGCGCGCACCTTGTCGCAGCTGTGAATTGCGTTAGCAAATTATCTGTCTTCCAGTACGTACGTACGTACTCCCTGATCCAGACCATCGCTGCAGCCACACAGTTAGGGTTGTTTTTCTTGCTGTGATTCATAAATTGCCACACCTATTCAATTTTTGCGACAACCGGCCATAAAAGGTGGATCGAATCATGAGTAGAGCCTCATTGGTGCTCCATTATATTTTCTCCACCATATATTGCCCCCAAACTATATCAGGGTGTGGAGAAATTGAATAAATACTGGATATAGAGATTAGAGAAGTTTGGTTGGGAAAACTTCTTTGTCACTACACCAACATGCATATATATATGCTTTCATAAGACACTACTAAATAGACATTGAAACATTAAACAATAAATATATATACTCCGTATATATAACTAATTTACATTATTACTTGTAATGTATATTACGTGTCATCTTGTATACATGTCTAACACTAATTACGGAATATCCCGTATTATTTTACAAATAAAGAAACACACACACACATAGACACATACTATAGAGTATATAAGTAATTAATTAAGGCATGTTGAGTAGGTGAGCCTCAGGAACAAAGATGCCGTGGAAGCCATAAGGAACCCGACGGGGGAGCTTGACAGCGGCCACAATGTCAAGATGGGGAGTCCGAGCGTCCATGACGACGAACCTCGACTCTCCCCTCTTCTCATCGTGCACGTACGAAAGAATATACCCGTCGTCCTCCTCATCCACGCCTCCGTTATCTTTCCCCACAAAAAATGGCTCTCCCCCGAAGCACCCAGCCCCGTACAGCCGACTGGCCACTATGCAATCCTGGCGGTCGGTTTCCGTCACCGAGATGTCCAGCTTCACCACTCCACTTATCTTTGGCATCGGATCCTCTACGCCTGCGTACACAAACCTGGATTTTTTTTTAATTATTTAGCTTATTAGCACATGCAAACTCATTGAATAATGAAATAATTGAAGAGATCAGATACATTAGCTCCCATATCATATTGAGTTATACTTCCTTCGTTCATTTAAACCCTTTCCATTTGGACAAACATTCTAACACAATAATGGTTTGTGGGAAGCTAGCAAGGCACTTATTTTAGAGTCAATAACTAACATTTCCGTACGTTGTGTACGGACACTAAGCGACAGAATAATATGGATGCATGTGTGTACGTACTTGTTTTTCTTAGTGACGTAGGCAGGATTGATGACCCCAAAATCCAGGTTCCTGGTGGAGAGCGGGTGCCGGGAAACCATTCCGGTTTTCAGATCGATCTTCACTCTCTCCATCGACGCGTGTATCATATCCACCCTTTCCAGCGCGTGTTCCACGCCCAATATGTTGGGAGCCACCATCACTATTGTCTCTCCCCCGTCCTCCTCCCACGCGTTTATGGCGTGCACGTTGTTGAACCCCGGCGCATCCACCCATCTCATCCCCGACCCCTCCTTCGCGTCCCTCCGGATCACCCCGATCCTCGGGACCTTCTCGGGGACCGCCCTCACGGGCGTGTCCCCTGTCTTCAAAAGCAGGTCGAGTGGGTTCGCCGCCATCTCTATTTGTGTGTCGGTGAAGATGGCGTAGTTCTCCGTGATCGCAAAGTCGTGCATGAACGACGGTCGCGCCACGGAGTAGATGGGAACGTCCCTTTCTTTGGTCCCGTCCGCATTGACTTTGAAGAAAGACAGGTATGGCGGGACCGGGCCGTACCGGAAGGCGAACGCCTCGCCCGTGGCAGGATCAATTTTTGGGTGGGCCGTCATGTTTGTCTTGAGCTTCCCGCCAAAGTCATGACGGCCGAGGGTGATGATGTCACCGTCGGGAGCCATTTTAACGGCGTAAGGGAGGTCCGATTCTCCGAGCGCGTAGAGCTTTCCGCCAAAATTGGCTAAACTGGTGTTGGCGAGGCCGATCCCGTTGGCGGGGTCGTACTGCCCCGAGAGCGTTCGGGCAGCGGCGAGTGCTCCGCGGGCAGCGATGGCAGCTAGGCCGTTGAAACCGGAGAAGACGCTCGGGAAGACGGGTCGGCCGATTTCCCGCTCTACCTCGAACTTGTAAGTCCTAACGTAGCGGCTGCAGAAGGTGGCTTTCCCGCCCGAAATCCGGACCGCGTGGAGCATCCCGTCCCCGTCAAAGAGATGGTAAGGGCCACGCGGCGGGTGCTGGGGGTTGGGGCCGTTGCGGATGTACACACCGTCGAGGCAGGACGGGAGAGACCCCTCGGCGACCTCGCACTCCGTCGGCGGCAGCTCGTCGACGGGGGCAAAGTTGGACGAGAGAACATGGCGGGGATCGACGGAGGAGCGGAGGCCGGGAGGGTCAATAAAAGCGTCAATGAACTCATCAGCCAAATTAAGTACCTTCGTAGGAAGGTTATTGTCTTTAGTAGCCTTCCTAGGCAGCAACGACGACGATAGCTTATGTGTTTTCCTCAGCGACGGAGGAACGGCCGTTTTGACGGTGGTGAAGACGGCGCCACCTTGACTCCCAGTCTTGGTGAAAGGCTTTAAGGAGACGGGAATAATAGTCGTTTTTGAACCGAAAGAATCCATTTCCTAGCTAGCTACGGGCAGTAGTGTCTTGTATGCAACAATAAAAATATTTGGTGTAGGTACCACTAAATAATACTCATCTCTTCTACAAAACCCTTTCTCTTTCGTTTTTTTTAAATTCCATAAAACAATTTCATTTTCTATTAAAAAACTACTTTTACCATTACTTTTTCATAGCCTACCTATCACATCATATTTTTTCCCTAATAACCAAACTATCATATCTTACTTTTACTCATCACATCAGGGGAAAAATTGGAAAGTCAATCAAAATTATACTTTTCTTATTTTTGTCAAAAGTCAAAAGTGGAAGTGTTTAAAGGAACGGAGGGAGTAATAATATACTCCTTAAAGGGTGGCGTTCCCATGAAATTGGAACCCAATGTCATGGGATGACTCGGGGTGCTCCGGTGCCACGTTCGTAAAATTGACAGTTTCTACCCCCTAATCCCCCAGTAAACCCCCCCACCCCGCCCCAACCCGAACACACCCCTACCCCGTCAATTGCACCCCACAAGTTAATTTTGATTTTGGAGTCAAAAAAATTTCGTACAGTTCCTTTTTACGTACAGTTCCTTTTGGGTTCCTTTTAAAACAGTTCCTTTTCATTTTTTTCATTTTCCCAAAAACACTTTTTTTTGGTAAAAAATGGCTAATATATCTAAATTAAGTTTTTACAATATACTACATTCAATTTGCATTGATGTAATAAGTCATTTAAATGATTTCTCTCTCTTTTTTTCGATAATAAGAGTATAATTAGAAGTTCAAACTTTGAAATTAAATTTCTCCCAAGTCAAAACAGGAACTGTTTTAAGGAACGAATGAAGTACTACCTCCGTCCCAATAACTCTTTCTCCTTTCTTTATTTCCGTCCCACGAAATCTTCTCTTTTCTATTACTGTTATTAATTCTTATATATCTTACCTATAACTTCATATTTTTTTACTAATAATCTACCAATGACATTCTGCTTTTAGTAATCACATCAAAGATATTTTTGAAAACACAACACAAAAATATCCCTCTCGTAATTTTCCTAAAAGTCAAAATGGAAAGAATTTTAAGGGATGGAAGAAGTACTTTGTAAGATAATAATAGCAATGCAATATATACTTCCTCGTGGCTCCTTCCCAAGATAATGACATACGGAGTACTACTTCCCTCTTCAAAATTCACTACCTAGAACTTTTATTAATTATTTTAACGTTTTTATTAATAATTTTGATAAAATAAAATACTTTTACCACATTTTTTTTGTAGAATTTTTGACGTAGTTTTAAACATGAAAATTATATTTTGTTTATCTTTNATTTTTCATGGAGATGGATGGTATGGTGACTGGTGAGGGGGACGTATTGGGGGGCATCCCTTGTGAATAGTTTTAAGTGCATATATGCTATATATTCCCATATATATCCCGGCCGGATATTATTGTTAGGTCATTTACGTCCTCTAAACTTATTTTTGCCTCAACATGCATGTGCTGAGGGGTCGATTATAATTCTTCAACAACAATATTCATAAATAAATAAAATAAGGCTTTTCTCAACGTAATCTCGATCCATTACCCTAATATTTAAAATTAAAAAAAGAACTCAATTATCACATGGAAATACTCCGTATATATTACGTACTACCATCCATATATTGTTTGTTTTTGTTTTGGCATACGGAGTACGGAGTATATATTTATATATATTTACGGTATATCCTACTAGCATTAATATATGGAGGACTAATTGTTTTCAATAGTTGAAGTTGTGTTTTCAATAGTACGTTCAAGTCGTATATACGGAGTATTTTTGTTAGAATATATTACCTTCATTCTCATAAACACTTCCTCTTTCATTATTTCCATTTCCAACAAAACACTTTCACTTTATATTAAAACCCCACTTTTACCCTTACTTTTCATACCTACATATCACATCATATTTTTTCTTTAATAATCAATCTATCACATTTTACTTTTTACCAATCACAAAATTATCTCTCCTTATTTTATCACTTTAGTCAAACCGTCTCAATCTTTATGCGACGGAGGGAGTAATTATCTTTACCGAGGAGCTTGGTGTTAGAGCGAATAAAACATGCATGAATAATAATCATCGTAATGAGAGCGATGTTAGTTCAATGAAGCAACGATGCTTCAAAAATTTATACGAGACCAAAGTTGTGACGACGAATTGAAGCGACTCGAAAGGTTATTATTTTGCCAAGATCGGTGTTAGTACGAACTAAGTAAACGATGCATAACGAAATTTGTATATCGAAGAGATCGACATTACTTCATACACATTAAGTACGATGCAGCAGCTTTGTCGACAGTATATCGAAGAGATCAACGAAGCGAGTGTCATCACGCCATGTTGGGACCGTCTTCAGAGTGCCTCATAAAAAAGGCTTTGAGAGAGGTTCTCTAATAAATCTTCATAAATGAACCATTCAGATAGAAAACGGTTGTACTTGGAGGTGATTTTCAACAAATTCTTATTGTTTTACACAGTGTTTCAAAGTTGTAGAAATGGTTAATAAATTTGTCCTATCACTCAATCCCGAAGATGAAATGGTGTACTTGAGTTTTGATTCTTCATGGCAGATAGATTCAAATGTAGGTGTTGATGGCGATTGAATAACAGTTGAATTTTTGAATGAAATCAAACGATCGGAGATTCCAAACCACAAATAGTTTTCAAAAAAAGGAGTATAAATTACTCCCTTCGTTCCACAAAACTCTTCCCTTTTCGTTTTTTTAATTCCCTAAAACACTTACACATTCTATTAAAAACCCACTTTTACCTTTACTTTTTCATACCATACCTATCACATCATACTTTTTCTCTAATAACCAATCCATCACATCTTACATTTTCCCATCACATTAAGGAAAAAATTAGAAAGTCAACCAAAATTACACTTTCCTTATTTTTGCCCAAAGTCAAAAGTGGAAGAGTTTAAAGGAACGGAGGGAGTATGTTATTAAGAAATATATATTGACCAAATATCTAGACTCTCTAATCGTACAAGATTAATTGTTGACGAGCTGCAAAAGAACGTTATCGTTGTTATCTTGGTTTCGGGAAATCGAGTGGGGGAAAAGTTTACATGCCATAGATGAATTTGGTACCATCTGAAACAGGTCTACCAGTGAAGTTCCAGAGAAGACAATTTTCAATAGTCTTATGTTTTGCTATGACTATCAACAAAAATCAAGGTCAAATATTATCATTTGTTGATAATTTTTAATCAAGTCGATGTTCACTCATGGATTATTTTTAATACTAAAATTATTGTATGCCCTAATGTCTTTTAGAAAATTTGGTATTAATTTTTTTGTTACGTTGTGTACATATTCAATTTCTCAAATACGGAGTATTATTTATTTCACTTTGGTTTTTTGTCTATGATATTAAAAATCATGCGAGAAGTATATTTTATTTATTCCAGAAAAAATATTTCATTAAAAAAATTTGTAGATTCAACAAAAAAATTTGTTAAACACCGTGCGTGACACGGGTCAAAATACAAAATACTAAATTTGTTAAACACCGTGGAGTAGTATTCATAATAAATGTGAAGATTATTATTTAAGAACCAAGAGATTATTATTATTATTATTGTTATTATTATTATTATTATTATTATTATTATTATTATTATTATTATTATTATTATTATTACTACTACTACGCCGTATTACTGTTATATCTCGCATTCATTAGCGAATACAATCATGCATTATTTCTACTGGTCTTAGATGGTGTTTCCTTTGGTGCACCTTTAAAATAGAGTGTTTTGAAACACTCTCTACTTGGCCCAATAATAAATGAACATGTGGCTTTGTTTGCCACCTCATTTTAATGAGGTTAAAGTTATGTAAATTTGCTATTTAGTCCAGGGGTGTCTTTTCTTCCATCTATCTACACGGCTACGCCATTTTCACATCTTCGTCATCGTCAACTCTCTCCCCCTCAACACTAGTTACTCTCTCCCTCCATCTCCCACATATCTCTATCTCCGACGGAATTTTATAGGCATATTTTTGGCGATTCTCAAAGGTTCTCTTCTACAAAAAGATTAGACTTCATCATCTTAGGTTCTCACTCTATTTATATTTTTTAAGGTTTTCGGGATTTAAAAATTATTTATTTAATTTCTCTGATTTTCTATCCAAGATTTCATTAGTAGATTCTTTATTTTAATTTCAAAACTATGGTTAAGTATATTATTACGATTTGTGTTAGAGAGAGATTTGTAAATCTAGGGTTGGTGGAAACAAGGGAATTGTCCTTTGCAAGATGAGTGTGAGGTCAACAAAGAAGTTAGGCTTTGTTTGTTTTCTTTTGTGGTACTCTTCTTCTCCCGGGCTCAAACTCACTCTGCACTTTGTTAATACTCATCAATTTTTTTTTCTTTTTTGATATATTTATATATTATGATGATGTGATGATGAGATGTGAAATTTGAAGATATGCCTTCATTAATTAGGATACTATTTTAAAATTTCATTGCAAATGGAAAAATTTATGTTGCCATTTGCCAACAATTTGTGAGGAGTATGTTTAAGTTTAAGAAAACGTCTCCAGTCTATTGTCAAAAAAAGGAATGAATTTCCAATGGTTCATTGCAAATTGTATGTTCATTGCAAATTAAAGCATCAGTCTCATTTTGACAAGTTGTATCTCATTTTTTGCTAATTGTAATTTTTACGGAGTATTATTTTAATTTGTGAGGTAAGATTTTATTTTTGTTTGGACTCACATTTTTTACTATTTTAATTTTAGATTGAAACTCACATTTTTTATCATGTTAATTTTTTTTATGTAAGATTCTTCATCCTTTCTTGAAATGCTATGTTGGGTGCAGGTGTTTGTTCATTACTAGTGATTTTCTTTTAATTATGTATCAGAGGATAGTGGATGCTTTTGAAAAAAGGTTGCTGCTGGAGTGCTGGTACACTTTGAATTTGTGGGATAATGAGTCTATGGATTGTTACTTTTTTGTATTTATGGTTACCTTGAGACTTGAAATATTATGAAATTTAATTTTAATTTGCTATTCTAGTCAAATTTTTCTCTAATAGATGGTTTGGTTTTAGAAGGTGCTACCATATTGGTCATAGAATGTATTTTTTCAATCTTAATTTAAAGTATCAATTTATTATCCACATGATCTAATTTTATTTACTTTTTTGTAACTTTGTTTATTTGGTAGAATTTGTAAATTTTATTTTCTAATTTTATTCTAATTTTCAAATAAAATGAATTTAAATTAATTTTAATTATTAAAAATAGCAAAAGTTTTTAATGTGAATGGGAGGGAGTAATAATGAAAAGGATATGAATAGTCAAGTACCCCATAATAATAATGAGTTGGGGAGTAATTCCTTTCCAATTCCAAAGTTTCATGAACCAATCACTCAAGGATGGAATAGGTGCGTTGAAATATACGAATATTACAGAGTAATGAGAGTATCCACATTTGAAATTTAAAAAAATCTATACTCCCTCCGTCCCAATTTATAATGTCTGTTTCGATTTACGATATTTGACTGAAATTATTTTCAAATCATTTTATATGACAAATGGTATAGAGTTAAAAAATAAAAATTACATATTAAAATATTACATCAAAAAATCTACAAAACTAGTAGTCACAATATACTTTATTTTATCAAATTGCTAACAAAAATAGAGAAAGAAAGTGAATGAAGTTTGACCATGTGAATAGTGAACATGCATTATAATTTGGAACGGAGGGAGTACTTTATTTAAAAAGAGGTGAATTATTTGACCAGTTTTTCCACACATGGATGTATTGACTTTTTATTATTCCCTCCGTCCGGAAATTTTCTTCCCGTGTTGACTTGGCACGCTTATTAAGGAATAATAAAAAAAATGCAAAATTTTCAAAAATGCACAAACTATAAACTTTTAAATCTTCTTTTATTATTAAAAAAGTATTATTAACTCTATCAAAAATGCAAAAAAGTATTATAAACTTTTAAATCTTCTTTTATTATTAAAAAAGTAGATTTGTGATAAAATAGAAGGGTATTATTGATATTTAGCCTTAAAAAGCATACTAAAAAAGGAAATGGGAAGATTATTTCCGGACGGAAGGAGTATATATATGGAGAGTTTTAGATATATTTTAATTTTTAGAGAAGAATATAATGTTTTATATGGAATTTAATAAATAAATAAATATAAACATAAATATTATTATTAATCACGGTCAAACTTCTAGGGGCGGTCTAGATTTATTTTTGGAATTTTTTTTTATATATGGGCTTTAATAAATAAATATAAATATTTTCTATATATTAATCATTTCCAAAGTTTCTAGGGGTTGGTCTAGATTTATTTTAGGAAATTTTTTTATATATGGACTTTAATAAAGACATGTTGAAACTTTTTACTCGGTATTATATATGGAGAGGTCTAGACTTAGTTTAGGAAAATTTGTTATATGTTGACTTTATAATTTAATTAATAAATAAATATAAATATTACTATTAATCGCGGTTGAAATTTATATGCGTGCATTTAGATATATTTTAGGAAAGTTTATTATATATGGGCTTTAATAAATAAATATAAATATTTTATTAGTCAAGGTCGAAGTTTCTAGGGATGGTTAAATTTATTTTAGGAATTAAATTTATTATATATGGGCTTTAATAAATAAATATAAATCTATTTATTTAATAAATATAAATATTTTTATCAATCACGGTCAAAGGTTCTAGGATGAAAATGCATAATATTATTTGTATTTTTTTCATCATAGGTATGCTTTTTATTATATATGGATTTTTTCTAATATAAAGGCTTATTATATATTTAGATTAACACCATCATCATTTAATTGCAGCGGGTGATCTAAATTTAATTTAGGAAAAATTTGTTACATGTGGACTTTAATAAATAAATAAATATAAATATTTTTATTTATAATGATCAAAGGTTTTAGCTACTGTATAGATTTATTTTAAAAAAATTTGTTCTATATATACTTTTATATTTAAATAGAAGTAAGTACTTTTATTAATCCTGGTCAAAGTTTCTAGGGATGGTCTACATTGACTAATACTCCGTATATAATGACTAAAAGTGCTCCATTGAAAAATAATACTTTTATTAGTCCTTATCAAAGTTGTCTGATAAGGACTAATACTTCGTATATAATGACTAAAAGTGCTACATTGAAAAATAAAAATATACTCCGGAGTATGATATTATTTAGGGAAAATATTTTAATGCTATTTAGGTAAATTCATCCCTTAATTAACTAATCAAACGCATGCAGACAACTTTTGAACACTATTAGTTAACTTCCTTACAATATACTCCGTACTTACCATGTCTCATAAAGATCTTCCTATTTTGATTTTCCTAAAAATAAAATTTTATAGATAAATTATTAGTAAAATGATACTCCCTTTAATTCGTCGTCCCTCATAAAATGAAAGATTTCAATTTGTAAGATATTTAAATTAAAGAGAGTGTATTTTGGTGTCAAGTTTCCGAAATGTCATTATATGTGATAAATAAAAGTAGAATTTGATAGGTAGATTAGTGGATAGATGTGATGTGAAAAGTAAATTAAGAATCAGTAATGATAAAAGTGACTAATAATAGAAATAATATTTTATTGAAACGGATGAAAAAAATAGAAAAAGGTTTTCAAGAACCAAGTAAAGTATTACTCCCTCCGTTCTTTAAAACAATTCCTCTTTCATTTAAATGATGTGTCTCTCTCTTTTTTTTTGATAATAAGAGTATAATTAGAAAATCAAACTATGAAATTAAATCACTTTCAAATCAAAACATGAATTTTTTTAAGAAACGGAGAGAGTATTAAAAATTGGGGAATTTATCTAAATAGCACTAAAACATAATCACATGTGTTCTTTTAGTCATTCATTACCCATTAGTCATTATTCAAGTAAATATTTGACATTATTGGACATTATAAAATATTATCTAGAAATTAAAACACTTTAATTGCTATTTAGAGAGATGGCTTAAGATTTAGTGACAAATATTTCTTAAAACTTTTGAACACCATTAGTAACCCTTCATAGAAATATAGGTATGTAGTACATACTTGTTTTTCTTGGCTATGTAGGCAGGATTGATGACCCCGAGATCCAAGTTTCGGGTGGAAAGCGGGTGCCGGGAAACCATTCCGGTTATCAGATCAATCCTAACTCTCTCCATCGACCCGTGTATCATATCCAACCTTTCCAACGTGTGTTCCACGCCCAATATGTTGGGAGCCACCATCACTATTGTCTGCCCCCTCGTCCTCCTCCCACGCGTTTACTGCGTGCGCGTTATTGAACCCCGGCGCGTCCACCCACGTCGTCATCCCCGACCCGTCCTCCGCGTCCCTCCGAGGAGGTTGGGCGATGAACGAGGAGGGGTAATCATAGTACTACTACTACTACTACTTCTTCTTCTTCTTCTTCTTCTTCTGGAAGTCCCCAAGGCGATGGGAATCGTCGTTTTAATACCAAAAATAGTAGAGAAAGAATAATCCATTGATTATCTGATGATCCGGCCAGTTATTTACGGGCGAGCAGTACGTTGCATGCATGCAACAATAATACAAATTCTTTTGTGCGTACAATAACTGAATCGGAGGGAGTGATATTAATACCACTGCACATGGCGCCCATCATTTATATTAATAAGAAATATTTGTACTAAATAGCACTAAAACTTAAATCATTTTCTTAAATAGTACTTAAACTGTTTTATTCTCTAAATAGCACTTAATAATATCCAGTGATAGTAAACGTTTACTTGAATGATGACTAATGAATACTGACTAAAAGTGTTACATTGAAAAAAACACATGTAATGCTATTTCGGATTAGTCATTATGTTTTAGTCATACTTAAGAAAATTCCTCTTATATGAAATGGTTTCACATTTGTGGTCTAAAAAAAATTTCATTTTTCGTTTATAATAAGCTAGTTCGAGTTGTATCATTTCTTTCCTCTTTGCACTATTTTTTAACTAAAAACTTAATTCTTTTTCCAATAATAATGTATGGTACTAATTAATTTGGCGTGAGAATTGAAGTTAAAGTTGGGGGACCATATATTGAGATGGTTGCGTGAGAGGGATGAGACATCCCTCGCGTTGTTGGAGGTGAAGTGATGCTATTCCTATGCATATCCCCGCCGGATATTAGGTGTTTGTTTTACACTTAACATTGTCTCAACAAGTATGTGGCTCATAACTTTTGTTTGGATTGTCCTCTCTTCCAAATTAATTGGATTACAATTTATCTAGGACTTACTCCCTCCGTTCTCAAAAACACTTCCTCTTTCATTTTTTTCACTTCCAACAAAACACTTCCCTTTTCTATTAAAAAACCACTTTTACCCTTACTTTTTCATACCCTACCCATCACATCATACTTTTTCTCTAATAATCTATCCATCACATCTTACTTTTACCCATCACATCAGGGGCAAAATTGGAAATCAACTATAATTTAACACTTCCTTATTTTTGCCCCAAATCCAAATGGGAAGTGTTTTTCCAAACGGAGGGAGTATTTTTCAATTACTTTTGTGTTTCATTTTAAAAAGTAAGTAATACTTCGTAATACTTTGTTTTCTATAATTCCTAATAGGGACATTATTCAGTTGTTTTTTGAGAAATTTACCTAAATAGGACTAAAACATAATGACTTTCCTAATATAGGACCATATGTTTTTATTTCCCAATGTAGGACCTTTGATCATTATCAAGTAGTCATTATTTAACTAAATGTCTATCATTACTGGACATTATTCCTTCCACAAGGTCATTATTAAGTCCTATTTAGGAAACAAAAAAGTTTAAGTCCTACATTAGGAAAGACATTATGTTTTAGTCCTATTTGGTGCAAATTTCACTTGTTTTTTTACTTAGGTTCTATTTTGGTCACAAAACATTAATTAACACTCCTATTTTAGAGATAAAGCCTATATTTTAATCTTATTAAGACATACTTCATATATCTTTATCATTTACTGTGTATTATTAGTATGATAATTAGTACTCCGTTGTGTTTATATTTATGTTCTCGTGTTGTGGG